GTGCCTGCCAGGCAGGTGCTCTGTTTCCATTTAATAACTATTTATTTGTACTTTAAAGTCTATGTTATTTGAAAAGTGTATGTCTACTTAAAATTTCCAAAACTAAATTATGCTGAATAATGTCTTACATTTTTATTAATTTCACTTAACATTATGGTGGGAAGGCCCATCCACTTTCTGAGAATGACTCAAGTATCTTTTTCATGGCCAAGTAGTACTGCATTGTGTGGAAGTGCCACATTTTCTTTACCTTTCCATCTGCTTACAGAGATAGAAGTGGCTTCCAGGATCTGGTTATCATGAAGTGTCCTGCCATGAACGTGGTTATACATGGACCACTGTACATAGTGTCTTCATCGTTTAGGAGATGTCTAAAGAGATGGATCTGACAAACGCAGAGCAAAATAAAAAGACAGAAGAGAGGAAGCAGGGAGGCAGAACTTTCTGCAGGGGCCGGGTTCAAGAGATGAAGAAGCTGGGAAAGGGCAGAGGAGAGGGAAGGGGAGCAGGAGTGGAGCTGTGCCACCTATGCGCACCGACCCCTGCAGAGAAGGCAGTGCATACTGAAACACACGTACATGAAACGGGCTCAAGGGATGGGAGGAAGGGCGAGGGAGAAAGGGAAGGGAGGTGCGAAAAGGAATCAAGACTGCGGTGCACATGCGCCAGCAGCCCACAGGGCACGTAAACACTGCATACTCCATCGTGTACTATTAAAATAAAAATTAAAAGTAAGCTTGTGAATCATTTTCACTCCTTAATCAAATTCTCCCGCGATGCCTCGTGCCATGCCCAGGGAAGTATCTGCTTTTCCTGTAACTTCCCGTCTGGGGGCAGTTACCTGAATGACGCTGTCACCCGGCCTCATGTCTGTGTACACGTAGATGTCATAGGAAATTGCTGGGAAGGTGGGGGTGTTGTCATTTGCATCCAGCACCCGGATATTGACGACGACGGGCCGACTTTCCTGTACACCATCAAATGCTGTTATCTTTGGAAAAACAACAACAACAACAACAACAAAAAAATACTTAGCAGAGAAGTCATGCAAATATAAGCAGCACTGATTCTCCGCCCACAATTTAATGAGTTTTTATATGTGATTTACAAGTGTAAAAGAGTACGAAGGTGTTTGGTTGATAAAAGGAAGTAATAAAGTGTGATATTACAAATACTCAAAACTGTTTCAGTGTGCGTAGAAGAAATTACTGAGGGTTCTTTTTTTTGTTTTAATTCATTAAAATTCCCAGCATACTGTAAGAAAGGAGATATGCCGAAGGGCTTCAAATGATCCAACCAAGTGGCTTATTTATTTAATTATCATTATCATTATTATTTATTTATTTATTTTTTCATAACCGGGGATTGAACTCAGGCCCTTGCATTTGCCAGGGAAGCACTTGTTCTACTGAGCCATCTCCCCAGACCTTGGCTGATTTTTTTTTAAATACTGCTGATTCCTAACCCAACTACAATTTAATGTTTAGAATATTAATTGGAAACTATTTTCTGCCTTATTTTGTATTCAACAGTTACTTTCTATTGTCCCCATGCATACATGGCTCAAGGAAGTAGGAGCTCTGGATACGACAAATAACATTCTAGTAAATCACACCATGGAACTTTAAAGGGTCTGACGCTGTGTGTTCGTAGTGATATCTTAATTATATCATTAATAGTATAGAACAGCCTGACAAATTAAACTGATGTCATATCCACCCTTGTTCAAGTGATTTCTGAATTTTAATACATGTTTAAGTGTTTTGTTTTGTTCCTGGTACCTGGGATTGAACTCAGGACTGCGCTTGCCAGGCAAGAGCTTATTCTACCGAGTGATCTCCCCAGGCCCTACATGTTTAAGTTTTAAGATTTTCCAGAAATACCGTTCTTCTGCTGGGAAAGTATCTCCAGAAATAACCCTTGAGAAAAATCCTATAAATTGTACCTTTGACTCAGCCCATTCTTCATCTTTATCTTGTATTTTCTTCAAGAACTTGGAAGTAAATGGAATATTTTTTATTTACATATATGGCATATGAATGTATTTCTCTGGTCTTTCCTGGATGTTAGGTTTTTCACTTCAAAACACTGACCTCAACAGTTTTAATCAGACATCTTTCTTGGACACATTCCTACAGACACATGTATATATGAAATCCTTTTACCGAAAAGGTGTAAAATTGCTGCTCTTCTCTGTCAACTGGTTGAAGCAGGGTGAGGTAGCGAGTAATACCCGTCTGGGTCACGGTGAAGACTGATGTGTAATCATTCAGAAAAAGGTGAAGTTCTGGGTCTTTCATCTTAGGGAATAAGTGAAAAACAAATATGACTGATAATGTTAAAGAAATAATGCAGCTCTTTGTCATTTTAAATTAATAATATATATTGATATTCCAAAAGAAAAAAATTGAGTTGAGTAGACAGTTATGCATGCACAAATTGTCCAAAGATAATGATCTATAATGTGGAATACAGAATGCTGAAAAGCTAATGGGAAGAAGTGAAAGAATAAGAAGGAAAGAGTATAAAATAACTCACATGAATATATTCTTGTTACTTAATATTTATGTTTTCCCTACTTCATTGGATTCAAGAGAAAAGAAATAAAAGCAAGAAAAGGAAATTGGAACTAGCATTTTAGCTATATAATTTTGCAATGAATTTATTGGTAGTAATAAACAACATATATGTATATTGCTATTGTGTTTTAACTTAAAATGTAAAAAGAAGTAAAATTGCTTATGTATTATTCATTACCTATAAATATTATGCCTGCTCTTTCTTTTTATGATACTCTAAAGGTTCTCCAAAGAGAAGAGAAACATAGTATTTATTTTAATTAAAATATTTCAGATCGTTTCCCTGAAATAGGATTATATGTAGGATTTTAGCCCATATACCTGTTAAAATAGACTAGAAAAATAATATATGTTTAGGGAAAAATGATTTAAAAATTCAAGACTAAGTTAATTGACATTTGAAAATCTTCATAGTTGGATTGGTTAATAATAAGCTATTCTTTGAAGTTCAGAGAAAGAATAAAGACAGACAATAAGGTGGCTGAGTGGCCGTGCAGGGGGAAAGAAAAGCATTCGGCAAACCACTGAGGGACATTGAGAGAGTGGAGGATTAGGAAGACTAGGAAAAGGAGAAAATGGAATGACACACAGAAATAATGTGTCTTGGTGAATTATAACATCTTTAATAATGTTCATAAAATGATGCAAAATGTGTTGCAATAAAGCCTAGCAGTCCACTATTAAGGGATAAAAGCAAATTGGTATGGTTAATTTAGAGGGAAAAGAAGCTTACATTTAAAAAATTTCAATGCAAAACAAAGAGTTGAAATATTCACTATTATGCTAAAAATGGGGTACACTTTAAATGCATCCCAACGTGCTTGAATGTGTGCATTTTCCAGTGTAATCATGTCTAATACAAATGATTTTGAGATAAATGATTTGAATGAAAATCATGTAACTAAAGAAAGTTATTTATAAATCACATCTCATTCTGTGGTAGCTTCTCTGTATGCAATTTTAAGTTAAGTCCATATGGTACATTTACCCCAGAACAATAAAGAGACTGATAGAATAAATAATTGCTTCCAGCATTCCCTTATAATAAAGTTATCCTGACATTGAAATGTAGAAGTTGAGTGCTTTGCACTGTGAATCTTTCAGTCACCTCATGTGCCTCTCTTTTTTAGCATCAAGAGGCCAGGGAAGGATGTGGATAAAAAGTGTGTTATTTTGTTTAATCAAATATACTAGCTGATTTTTTTGTTTTGTTTTGTTTTTTTGTTTTTTTTTGTTGAACTGGGGATTGAACTCAGGCCCTTGCGCTTACCAGGCAAGTGCTTATTCAACTGAGCCATCTCCCTGGCCCCCCTATACTAGTTGAATTTTAAAAGTTATTTACTCATGAAAATAATACATCTTGAACCACATTCATAAAGATTCTAATTATTTGATTATACTTCAGAATTACTTGTGCTGAAATTTATCAATTTAGAGATGATCAAATGCTAGCACATGATTTCAACCAACAAGAGCTGGAACACGAATGTCTACCATTTTAAGTGTTTTTCCTTAATTTTACCAAATCATCAAGCATTTATTTTGTACTTTTTGTAATCTCTGAGTATGTAAGAAACAGCTCTGTCTCATGTGCATAGTTTACTCATAATCTTAGTAGTCAGTAACACAGCCCAGTGAGTTTTGCTCTTTGATTTCTTTACAAACTACTTCCTTCTTGTTTTTCAAATTCTTCCATCATTTTCTACTTTATACCTTATTCTTCTCTGCTTCTTTTCTTCCACTCAACTATAGCCTCTGCTAGGAAAATTGTTTGACACATTCATTCGTTCACTTGCCGCATGGCTTCCAGCATTTTCATGTGTCAGGTATTATGATAACAAAATGTTGCGCCTACTATTGAGTTGTAAGCAAGTATGTATGCAAACAATAGTAGTGTAATACGGTTCCAAAATAAATAGCATTTTCACAGTTTAGCAATTATTTGAAAATCCTTAAACTTTGTCCAATATTTCTCATATGAAGATAATACACATATTGATATTCTATGAACAGTCCTTCATATTAAATAACAAGAGATACAATACATTTGTAATGCCTAGCTTGAGAATGGAATAATATCTCAGAGAAACTCAGGTTACTGATGAATGTAAAGGAGCTGATCTAACACATAACATTAGCACTACGCGTGTCATATTATAACTCATTCTAATTTGATTTGCATATGTAACTTAATTAAAAAAGAACTCCTGTCATTCACATATACTTAAAAAAGTAACCTTTTTAGGTCAAATTATAACATACATAGATGATATGAGTACCTATCTTGGCAAGCCCTTTGGAATGAAATTTTTGAAAGAAATTCAATAAATTATTATTTGAATTTCAATCTTCAGGTTGTTTTGTAAGGATAACATTATTTTCAGTTGTGATATGAGTGCTTTAAAAACTTTATCATATCTTTTAAAAATATTTTGTGATACTGTCATGCGATATTAATATCAAATTTTAATGGATTCACGTTAACACAAACGAACCTAGTTTTGAATGACAATGTATAAGATGAAAGGTTTTGTTGCTTTAATATGCAACAAATCCAAGAAAGTCAAAAGTTTTACGAAATCCAGACATGAGGGTACATGTTTGTAAGACAATGTGGGATGCCGAGACAAGAGAAATGCAAACTGCAGCCCAGCCTAGGTAAGTCGGATACCTGTATCAAACAGAAATATTAGGGGAATAAGGAATAATGAAATATGACAGTATTGAAAATTCAAATTCTTCCTTTGTCAAATTGCATCCTGATACATAATCTTTTTTTTTAATGTATTTAGGATAGCATCTACAGGGGTTCACTACACAGACTGGACTTGTAGTGATCCTCCTGTTTTCAGCCTCCCAAGCGCTGAGATCACCGGCGCGCACCACCACACCCAATCTCAATTGCCCGCTCAAAGCGCCCCACAGGTGGGGTCAGCACAGCACACCAGGGATCGAATCCTGGCCCCTGCACTCTGCCTAAGCAGGCACTTTAGTCCTCTGAGCTATCAGGCCCACCCTTATGATATATAATCTTAATCTCATAAATATATTTAAATTATATAATGCATAAATTTCACTGTCAAGCTTGATCAACATTTTCGTCTTTGCAAGACCACTAACCACTTGAGACTTATGTGTGCAGAAGTCTCATGGATCAGGATACAAGTAGACAGATAATGTTTTGGCTTAATTTTCCTAGAGAGACTGAAGGTATTATGTAGTAATTATTTGCTGTAAGATGATGATTCAAAGAGTATTAGTAGTGTCAGTCATTATTTATGGAATTACCATTGTTTCCTATTGTGACAAAAGAATTATTTATTTTACCCTGAAATACATATTTTGTATATCTCAAAAGTAAAATAACTTCATTGATATAGACATTGCTTTGGAAGGGTAAAATAAATTCTGACATGCAGGCACAAAACAAGAAATGAACGCACAAACTAAATGCATATACAAATACAGTGATACATAAAATCTGCACAAAAGATAAACAAAAGCATTCCATCTTAAATAATTGTTTTCAAATATATAATCTAACTGGATTTGACACCAGTTTGGGATATCCAATGGGAATCAAAAATGCTAAGACACATATTATAAGCCTGTTCATATATGCACATGTACAACATACATACACATCTGTACATTCATATTACCTGTGTGTATGTATATATGTCCACGCATACACTTAAAAATCACAAAGAATAACAGGAAATGAGTAAAGGTGATTCTACCATGCCTTTAACCCTGGATTTTTGGAGGTTAAGGCAGGAGGATTGCTGTGAGTTCAAGGCTAGCCTGAACTATATAGCAAAATCCCTGTCTCAAAAAGACAAAAATAAATAAATATTAATTTCAATCTGACAAATTTAACTCATAATGCTAGCCTGAACTACATAGTTTGAATACAATTGTTTGATAAAAATTTGGAACAATTTAGAAAGAATTCTATGATTAAGTACATAATGAAGAATTGTGAACTTAAGGGGGCTTACAGTTTAGCTCAGTTGTTTAAGCGCCTGCACGGGCAAACCCAGTGCAGGGGCCCGCTATTTGATCCCCAGTTCCAAATGCCTTACCAAACCCGCCCTTAAGGCAACATGAGCCAGCATCCTTCCACC